TGCATCATTAGATCAATTGAGTAAAGTTCAATAGGTTTAAAAAGCAATTAGCTCACCAATACACAAATAAATTCTTAAAACAATACTTGATAAGATATCTAAAAAAAATTTTCAAATACTTTAACAGACAACTCATTTCTTTGATGCAATCTTTAAAATTATGATTTTTTTTAAGTGGACATTTATTATTTTTGCATACTGTATATATATATATATATATATATATATATATATATATATATATATATATATATATATATATATATATATATATATATATATATATATATATATATTAATTTATTTGTTATTTAGGTGCCCCAAGAAGTCCTAACGGTCTTGTCATAGAGCACCGCAGATATGCATTTAACCAGAAAGTTCACGCCTCCTTTCTTACCGTGACGCAAAATATGTCCAAAGCTCGTTTCGAACCTGGATTTCAATTAAAGCAAGCGCTCTTACCACTGCGCCACGGCCTTTTAAAAGTTTGAAATTTGTTTTACAGCAAATCAAATTTCAGACATTATTCTAAAAGCAAATGGAATCGTAATTCTACGTTCACTGGAAATTGCAGTTATAAAACTTGCTCATAATAGTCACATGGGACTTGAGATAACCAAATCACTTCTTATAGAAAAAGTTTACTTTCCTGGTGACCAAACTTTAACCTCTGCGTTAATTGTGTTCAAACAAAGCTAACAGAACAAAATGCGTTTAAGAAATGCTAACAGAAACTCTAACTATTTCTCCAAATGCGTTCAAACCAATACGAACATTGGTTTGGATTAAGTTAATGTGCTGCTCTGAGCATATAGGCTATTGGAAATTTCATAAGCGGGATGCGAACCTTTTAATGATAAATCCATGAAAGGGTCGTCGGAGGTGTTCCTGCCTTAGAGGGGATTTTAAGGGCAAAGGGGTGGCTTGAGAGCTTCTTATCTTTCCATCTAGGAAAGGGGAGAATCTTTAAAGCTCCTCGGTCTTGGGGTCTTGAAAGCCTAAAATCATGCTCAAGCATATCTCATAATATTTTTTTATGGTACTGTTTTACTGTTTTAATTACTCTATGGTATTGTTTAACAGGTGTTCGGTATAAAGTGAGCATTAATATACAAATGTGTAAGAAACACACTTGTATATTAATACAGAAATTGTTGATTTGCGGAAATTATTAGTTTTTAATTGAAGGAAAATGGTTTTAAGGGTTAAGAGATAATAAATTTAATGTGAGAAATGAAGAACCAGGCACGCCGGAAAGACCTAAGGCCAGGGGTGGCAAACAAAAACACAAGGACAAGCCAAATTATCAACACAATTATTTTATTATATATAATATCTAATATAAAGAAACCTTTTAATTAACCCTACCGTTCTCCAAAAAGTACACACAAAAATGTCACTTATAAAGTCTTTCGACCTTCGGCATGACTGTTCAGTTGTTAAAACCGTTACATTTACGTTAACACTACGATTAAGAAATTAAGTACTAAGAAAATAAAAATACAATATATATAATATATATTAGTGAAATCAAGATAAATTACATCAATTAGCTCGTAAGATTCAGTGAAAGGCTAAATAATATCAATTAGATAGTTAGTCTCTATTAGACTAGTTATGCATAATATATGATAAAGAAAGCCATGTTGATTTGTAGAGAGCATGTTATTATTTATCAAAAAAATCATTTGAAATATATAAAAAGAGTTTAAGTATAATAACAAAAAGTTGTAGCGTATATCGATAGAAAGAAGAATAAAATTTAATAAAATTTAATTAATGATCTTGATCTGATATATTCTGTTCATTTTCTATTTTTGATGTTGATGCCACTGATGAATGTTGATTTGAATTCGATGCACATCCTTGTTGCTGCTGTTATTATATTAGCTGTAGTTTTTAAATACTTAAATATTTTAATATATTTTTTTAAAACTTTGATTTTCCAACCGTTCTATTTGTCTTTTTCTATTATCTGAGTCACTTGGTTAACTGCGCTTCATTTTCTTTGAATTAACATTTATTTGAATTTTAATTTTGTACAATAATTGCATTAAAAATTTAGTGGTCCAGGTACCAGTAATAGATGTACAATCAAGAATTCATGTTTTTTTTTTCTGACAACAGTTCTTTTAAGAGATGTAGATAAAACGTTACATAATTTACATTTAATTTACATAATTTATTTTACATAATTTACATTAAACTCTGAACTGGAGGTTTAAAGCAGTCTTTAGTATTTCAGTATGATATTAGGTGTTGACCTTTTTGGTGTAAAAAAAAAGTAGTAAAAAAACAAATAATTTTTCTCTATATGCTACCCCTTTTGGTTTGCTGCCCTTAGCTTTGGTTTGTTTTACTTATAGGTTAGTCCAGGGCTGTGCCTAGGGAATGCCGTACAAAAACACAATGTAACGATAGTTCACTTTTTGTGACTTGCTTTGTGTCGTATTATTTATTTTTGAATATATAGATAACAAGATCAGACATAAACAACTTTATAATTAAACTTTCGTTTAATTTTACTTTTAATTTATAACTTTATTTACTTCCATTATTTTAGTTTTTTTTACATACCTGATTTAACTAAAAAACGAAAATTTTTTTTTGCAAGTTAAATGTTAACAATAAAAAAAAAAAATTAAATACAAGCTCGGGCGTGTTTATTTTGTACTTTGATTTTACATGCTCGGGCATGTTTATTTTGTATTTTGATTTTCTGAGCGCCCAGATTTTGACCGATTAAATTATACAAAATTAAAATTTTTTACCGTTTAGACAACAAATTTGAGTGTTGATAGAAAGCCCTTTAGCAGCCAATTTGACATGACAATTCTGAATAAAGTATTTATATCACACTTAATGGGAAATGTCAAACAACTGTTTGAAAGATTTAAAATAATGAAATTATTGCCTATCAAAAAAAAAAACAAATTTTCGTCGATTCTGACTTTTGAATAAAGATCTAGTACAGAGACGGATCCACTGAGTACAAAATCAAAGAAAAAACTAAATAAGTGTTTATAGTTAAAAACTGACGTTGATCAGTCTGTTGATTATGAGTTTGACACAGTAAATCATAATATCTTACTTAAAAAAATGGAAAGCTATGGAGTAAAAAACATCACTCTTGACTGGTTCAAAAACTACCTAAGCAATAGGCAACAATGTGTTATTTCAGACAATTATAAACACTCAAAACTACTAAGAATAGAGTGCGGTGTCCCCCAAGGTTCCATTCTTGGACCCCTTCTGTTTCTTCTATATATTAACGACCTTACAAAAACCTCGAAAAAACTTGATGTTATAATGTTTGCCGACGACACAAATTTATTTTATTCCTCGAACTCAATCAAAAACCTTTATGAATGTATGAACAAAGAGCTTGAAAAATTAAACATCTGGTTGAAATTAAATAAGTTATCACTTAATACAGAAAAAACAAAATATATATTGTTTTATTCCAAAAAACAAAAAAATAATATACCAACTATACTTCCCCCACTAAAAATAGATAAGGTAAACATTAAAAGAACAGAAACAACAAATTTCTTCAATTTCAAATTTCTTGGGATACTTATTGACGAAAATATAACTTGGAGAGCCCATATTAGTACAATAAACACCAAAATTTCAAAAAATATTGGGATACTTTACAAAGTTAAACCTATGTTGTCCCAAGATAATCTTAAATCTCTTTATTTTTCTTACATCCAAAGTTATCTTACGTACGCTAATATTGCATGGGCAAGTACACACAAATCCAAGTTAAATACTCTTTATTTAAGTCAAAAACATGCATCAAGGTTAGTTTATAATAAATATAAACTCACCCATGCTGAACCTTTACTAAAAACCCTAAATGCACTGAATGTTTACCAAATCAACATCTATCAAAATATTCTTTTCATGCTTAAATACAATCTTGGACTAGTCCCATCGCATTTTTTAGATAACTTTTTTCAAATTAACTCTAATAGATATACCACAAGAGCAACAGGGAACTTCACATTACCAAAAAAAAAAACAAAGTTCTCACGATTCTCTATTTCCTACCGGGGTCCGTACCTATATAACAAAATAATATCCGAAAATATAGAACTTAAAGCTTTAAATAATTCTGCCACCTTGAAAAAAAAATTAAAACACCTCATACTTAATATCAAAAATTTTATTGACATGTATTAAACTTAACAACAAGATTTATACTAAAATGTTTATGTGTATCACTGACTGTGTATTGTTTAACCACTTTTAACTATATATAAAAATTAATTAAATTTATTTAACCACTTGAAAAGGTACTTGATGATAAGACTTCATAGTCTTCTGCGAGTCTCCTTTACAACAACATGTTTATATTTGAAGAAACAATAGTTTTTATTTAAAAAAAAAAACAGTGTTTATTAATCTAACGTTATATTTTATTATAATTGTTAAATTACGTATTCTTATGTTATGTTATATATTTTACTCTTTGCATTAAATTATATGATAGAATTGTAACGTAATGAAGTGTATATTGAAGTTGTAAAAAAAAAAAAAAAAAAAAAAAAAAAAAAAAGTTTAAATAAAATTATAAATCAATCAAAATGAATTCCGTAACTCTTTAAGCAAAAATTTTTATAAAACCGCAATTTTAAAACCGAGTTCGGTGAAGTAACAAACCAGTCAAAAAGCTGGAGAAAATCACGTCATTAAAATTGGTCTCAAATTTTCGCTCCGCCATTTAATTTGGTGGAGACAAAAATATGGCATTATTTAAATTATCGCAAAAAAAGATTCTTTTATTTATTATAAGTTACAAAAAAATTTTCTTTAAATTATTATGTTCATTATTATAACCAGATAGCTTTTTTAGAACATTAATTAAAACAAAAGTTAAAAGTAACCAGACCAGATTTTTAAAACTTTTCTTCATTTCAATACAGTTTACAGACCAAGAGGCCGATTACATCAACTATTGGATATTACAATAGAATTTTCATTAAAAACAGCGATTAAAATAAATAGTTCGCAAGTAGAATTTATTTCAAAAATACATTCAACAGACTTCTTTATTAAATGTTACAAATCTAAAGTAATGGCGGAGTCTTATTAAAACAATTTAAAATGTTTTACAAAAACAACGACGATATCCAAATCAAGTAACTTTATTTGTTCCGCAATGTCTTAATATGAAAATTGCTAGTTCATAATGTATGCCTTTACACGCACACTTGCCACAATCGAAACATTCAACCAAATAGGAGCATAAAATTATTTCAACTGCTTACAATTTCATCTTCACTTAACAGGCCATTCATCAGTCGATACACAAATCAATATCTACTTTTCAAGTGCTTGTATCCTCAAACGAAGGCTGGGTATTTGAAGAAATCTCTGTAAATCGATACAATTTTTAACAACACAATTTAAAAAACTTGTCCAAAAAAACAAAACAATTACAACATTAAAAAAAAATCACAACATAAAAAGCAAACCTGCAACAGAACTTTTAACTTCGTTTTTAGGTAGATCATTCAGTGAGCTAAGTGGAAACAAATTCTTTAGTTTAAGTTAAATTAAAGTAAAAGATTAGTTAATATGTTAATACGTTAAGTCAGGTAAATTTATAGAACTGGAACTGTTATACCAGAAAATTTCGTTCGTCGGTTAACGTTGACAACCTTTAAAGAAACCAAAAAAAAGCCTGATAGAGTACAGATTTTACATAAAACACTTAACTTATGTTGTGACGTGTACTAACATGTACACTGTGACGTGTACTAACATGTACACTGTGACATGTACTAACATGTACACTGTGACATGTACTAACATGTACACTGTGACATGTAGTAACATGTACACTGTGACATGTACTAACATGTACACTGAAAATAAATAAACTTTGATAACATTATTTAAAGGTATTTAGTTAGGATTTGAAAATACTCGAATCTCTATCAACAATGTTATGAACATAATATATCGTAGAAGAACAATTGATAAATCAATTTAATATTTGATGGACTTTGATGGATAGAAAACAGGCTTTGTGAGTTTCATGTGTAAGAATAACTTAAAAATTTATCCTTTTTTTTAATCAATAAAATTATTCATTGATTTTTATCGTAAAATAACTGAAGCACCACCTACAACAACAAAAAAATCCTACCAAAACAAAACTGAACAATGTAAAATCAGCATTCACAACACGGTCTAATAAATGCACAAATGATAATAGGTGACTTAGATGGGATTTGTTTAAAATTGCAGGTGTTTGAGTTTGTATAGATAAGTAATTGTCTTTCGTAAGTATATTTCAAAACATCCAATCAAAGCAGTACAGGATTTCAGAACAAGATTTTTCATTATGGTTATCGATTTAAGTCACAAACGCTTGTGTTGAAATTCAATCAAGTAATCTAACATAAAATTATAATTGTTTTTTTTTTATTTAGGTGGCATTATTAATAACAATCAAGGTGTTATTAACGATTTATGCTGTTTGCAGCATTTAATATCCTAACAAGAATTTAAAAGGCAATAATTCTTATGAAACTAAAAACAAAATCTAAAGGAAAGCAACTTTTTGTTTATCCTTTTTTTTTTTTTATTGCTATTATGATGTCAAAATAATTCGAATACCATTGATTGAAAAACAACTGATACCATAGGATGCATGGCATGGATGTTATGAAATAAATTTTTTTAAAGTTATTTGGTCGGTCTAAATTTTTTTATAGAACACAGTTATTTACTTTTCAACAGATTGATCGATTTCCATGGCTTCAATATCTGGTTTTGATTGGTTATTGATAATTGAAACCAATCCTTCACTAAAAAATTTCAACAATTACTTTCAAATATGCTTTCAAAATATATATTTTTTAAACTAGAACTCAATCTAAAAATATCAAATTTTTAAAAAATAAATATATAAATATAACAAAATTAATTGATAAGTCATTTTAAAAAAATATTTAAATCTATACCTATTAGGTGTAGCGGCAACAGCTAAATCAGCTACACTTTTTCCAGGAATTTCTGATAAAGAATTGTCTGATGAACTTCTAAAATTTAAAAAGTTGAAAAAAAAAAAAATCTTAACTTAAAAAAAATTATCTTCAAATAATAATTTAAAGTAATTTGTTTTTACCCGTTCTCATTATCTTTGATGGGTTGATTCGAAACTTCTTTCTCTGTCGTTTTTATTGAATCCATAACCATGGTAGTAATTGGGCTTCCTGGTTTAATTTTTTTCCTTGGTGTTTTATAAGACTTTTCATCACGCCGGCCTTCTCCTTCATCTTCCGAGTCTGAATATTCAGCTTCATTCACAATACGCTTATCAGATGCTCGTACTAAAAAAAAAAAAAAAAGTACATTTCTTCTTTAAGACAAATATCAAACGCTACACTTTTATTTTAAAACTTTAGTTCGAAGTTTTTGCTTCGCTTAAAGTTCAGCAAAAAAACAATTCTACCAAAATCCATGGATTATAACATTTACTTGATTTTTTTTATTATTTACAAATAAAAAAAATCAAGGAAATACTAATACGATTGAATTAGGGCTGAAAGAAAATCAGCAGAATTTATATTGCTACATCATGTATATTTTTATCAAATAAATAAATTAAAAAAAAAAGCCTGAATACAAAAAATTTCAAAATTTTTATTTTAAGTTTTTCAATCTTTTATTTCAAATTTTTTTTTAATTCTAAAGTTTTATTATTTCATAGTAAAATTTCATTTTTATTTCATACTTAATATATTATAAATTTTTTTTTACATTTTTGACAACTCAACTGTTTTTAAATTTAACTTTAAATAAATGAAATTTGTTTTAACTTCATGTTTCAAAATCCTATAGGACTATATCCCAAAATTTCATGGAAACCTATTTGAATAGAGTTTATCAGACTTACTTAGAAAAATAGCCACACAAAAATATACTTAATTACAGGTTAAAACCATTTTTAAAGTTTTTTTATTTTCTTTTTAATCTGATTCAGTCCCAACTATTAAGTTGGGAATTACTAGAAAAAATAATAGAATTATAGAGCAAGGAAACAATAGAAGACTTAAAAAGTTGAAGGTTGTACGAATCAGGAAAACATGAAGATGGGAGAGAGTTCCAATGGGTTGAAGTGCGGGAAAAAAAACTAGACAAATAAAAGTGTTTAGATGCAGGGATACAGTAAAATAATGAGTCTGCTAGATATCGAGTCAAGGGAGAATAAGTTTTTGTCAATAGAACTAGAGATGATAGCTCCTTTGATCAGTGACCATGATAGTATTTGTAGAAAAGAGAAAGAGAAGCAACTTTACAACGATGGGAAAGAGGCTCAAGCTTAGCAGATAGGGCAGGTCCAACTATGTTTACAATACGTTTTAGGACCTTGTCTAGAAAAGAAAAAGCATCATTAGAAGAAACAGCCCAAATATGACAACAGTATTCTATACAAGGGTGAATAATGGATTTGCAGAAGTAGAGAATGGAATAAGAAGAGAGAAAATGGTGAGCACAATAAAGAGAAGCAACCTTAGCAGATACTAATTTAGCAATCAATTGTATATATGGTTTCCATGAAAGGTCAGTAGTAAACAATAATCAAAAAAGACGTTAAGAAGAGGATTCAGTGAGAGGATTGCCATTCATTAATATAGGAATGTCGACAGCACTGCAATAGTTGTTTGCAATAAATAACTGAGTTTTGTTGGAGTTAAAATTTACAAACCACTGTGAGCCCTTAATCTGTTATAGAAGTGAGATCAGATTCAAGATCAGCTGCCTGATCTTGAATCTGATCAACAGGACCAAGGATAGAACATTGAAGTTACTAAAAATAAAGAAGAGTGTAGGCCTTTAAGGATTACTTTAATAAAACGGTTAGAAAGAAACGATTTGATAATCTCGAAAACCTTACCAGATACACAATATAAAACAAGTTTATGGAGAAGACCAGCATGCCAAACTTTGTCGAAAGCCTTAGATATGTCAAGAGCAATGTCTTTAGCTTCTCCACCTCTAAAGCATTGTTAAATTCGGAACGATGAAAAAAAAAATATATAAAATAATTAAACTAATGCAAAAACTTCAGTATTTATTTTATTCTAAGGAATTTGAAGATTATAAGAATGCTTTTTATTTTAACATTTTTCATTATTTCAAATAAATAAGCAAAAATTTACACTAATTGACGACATCAACTTTTGCACAGTGTCTTCGGCAATTTTTTTTTACAACTAATGTTCAATCTCTAATCAAATCTTTAGCTATACTTATTGTTTTGCCACTTTTATGCAAATATCCTTTGCCGATTCCTCAAAATTTCTCAATGGGACAGTACTGTGGGCAGTTTGGTGGATTCAAGCTTTTTAGTATGAATTTTATGTCTCTCAAATTGTACCACTTTACGGTCTTCTTAGAATAATGAAAAAAAGCAAGATTAGGCCAGAACCAACAGGGGACATCGTGACTTTGATAAAATGGCAAAAGTCTAACTTGCAAGCAATCCTTGATATAAACATCTGAGTTTAAAGTTGACAATGTGACGAAAGCTCAAGATCTCAAACCAGAGCTGCATATTGCTTGCCACAATAGGAGTTTCTTACCAAATTTATCCAATAATTTGAAATTGAACTTGTTGCTAACACGCCCACAAACAATTGAAGTGTAAAACTTTTGACCTGGGAGCTGTTTGAAGTCACATTTGATGTACGTTTCGTCATCCATAATTATGCAGCCATTAAATTTTGTATGCACTTTGTCTTAAAGTTTTTGAGCTCAAGTTTCAGCATTCAGTGATTGCTTATCTGATCGGTTTGGATACTTAATGGCTCGATAAGACTTGAAATTGTTAAATTTTTTACTTCCCTGACAAAAAACTCTAAAACTTTATATCTTTTGGCTCTTTCTCTGTTCGATAAGCCAGGATTTTGCATGAATGATCGTCGAATACTAATTGCTGCTTTCTTATCCTTAAAGCCATTCTTTTTATCCATACCCTTTTGCTTGTTTGATAGAGAGCTCTTGTATCGTTGTATGACTGTATAAACAGTTTTTTTGCTAAATTCGGGTGCTTTAGCGATTGAAAGTAACGATGCAAAAGGACTTTGTAGATAGTTGTGCAGAACTTTTGTTTCGTTTTTCTAACTGTTTCGATGACATTTTAATTAAGAGAAATATTTTGAATTGCTTGTTGATGATTTTAATTAATACTATCATTACTTAATGTAATTACGCAAAAAAAAAAAAAAAAAAAAAAAAAAAAAATTAAAATGTATTAGTGACAAGTTTTAAAATAAAATTTATCGTTTCGAATTCAATAATCGCATGCTTTATCTAATGCAAAATAAAATCTTTTAGTCACAGCAGTTAGCAAGTCAGCCGTAGAGCAAGAGGATCGAAAACCGTATTGGTTGTTTGACTGTAAGTTATTTAACTCAAGATGGGATGTGAGAAATATGATGATCAAAATAATTACTAAACTGATTTTCTCAAGTTACTAAAAAACTCTCTAAAGGTGAAAATATATTTTTTTGCATAAAAAATAATTTTATTTAAAAAATTTACAAAACAGTTGACACTATCAAAACTTTTTTCTTTTCTATAATCTGATTTTTTAGCTAGACAAAAAAAAAAAAAAAAAAAAAAAAAAAAAAAAAAAAAAAAAAAATTTATTGTCTAAAATGCTCTTTAGTTGATTAATTTTTGTAACACTATATCAGAAATTTCAATTTATTGTAACTTTTTAGTACAACACTTTTTGTGATGTATTGAATAATTTACATTACTCATTTTTTTTTCAATTTAAATATTTAAAATCACATGTTCTTCATTTTTTAAATCTAAAGCCTTAACAAATAGTATCATCACTATCAGCCTTAAAAATAAATTGCTGTTATCATCCATAAAAAATAATAAGGTAATCTGCTTTTTGGCTTACTGGTCAAAAAGCTTGATTATTTTTAATATTAAAACTGTTTAAGAATTATTTTAATTACATTTATCATAATGTAATGTTAATAAGAAATTTATTCTAAATTCTATTTTATTAAAAGCTTTTTACCAATTAATATAGTATAATTATACAACTATCACCAATAGAATCTTATAATTTACAAACAATTTGAAATTGTTTAACAGTTTTTTCAAACTTACCATAAAGTTATTATTAAGAACTATTAATGAAAAATTTATTCAAATGAATTTTTTATGAGATTTTTATAAAAATAAACTTTAAATGAGAAACATTTTCAAACGTATATGGGTAATTCCACATCAAATCACCCACTCCATTGAACCATGTGTCTTCTTTTTGTTTTATATTTTGACACACGATTTCTATTTATAAAAAAATATTGCATGCAAAATTTCAGCTAAAAATGTCAAGCGGTTGACAAGATACAGCAAATTTAATTTGGACCTGGTTTCTCAAAATGACCCGGTTTTCATAACATTCTGAAAAGTTGTTTTCCTCAATAAAATAAGAAATAAAAATGGCAAAAATATAAAAATATACATTTATAATGGTTTTTTAATGCTGAATTCAATAAATGTACTTAAAATGCTGAAATGTTAGAGGAACATCCTTAAAAATTAATAAATCAACTAGTTTATATAATCTAACTTTAGGGCCCAATATCTTAAAACACCCCCGTCAAATTTTTTTTTTTTTTGCTTTCAATATTTTAAGCTAGTTATAATCTTACTAGGCACAAAAAATCTAACTGGAAAAAAAACTGAAACATATAGAACTTTAATTTTAAAGATGTATAACTTTTTTAAGAAATTCCTAAAAAATTTTTATAAATTCAATTAAAATAAATTATTCCTAATTTACAAAGTTACTTAAATATACAAGATTTTTAAAGGTATCGAATGTGCAAGTTATTTTGACTGTATTTGTAATAGTTCACAATATTGTTGCCATTTTACTTGCACTTCTTCTATTTCAACATTTTCAAACACATAGTTTCTACCAGAACTAGAGCAAGCTTGTGGAACAGATAGTTTTTTCAATATATTGATGTTAGGAATAAAACAGTGATCGTCTCTTTCAGGCCAGTTAAAATAGATTGATGGACCTCTTGGGTGGAGAAACTTAACTTCAGCATCAACTTCTTCTAGGTTGATTTCAGTAACAATGCCGATCCACCACTAATCATCATAAACTACCGCAACATAACCTCCTAAAGTGACAGTATCAGGTTCAAATATATGTTTCTTTTTAAGATTGTGAATTATTGTATATTTAGTGTCTGTACTACACCTCTTCGCCCCAACCCTATTATCTCCAAGATGTATAAATTGATGAAAGCTACGAGTACCTGGTAGAGTTGTTACATCAGTGTACCTTTCTTTTTGCTTTTCACGTTGCAATTGTAAGTCCAATCCCTTTATGTAAATGAAGTTAACAGCCTTAATTTTCTCAACACAAAATTCATACATAGCCTCTGATGTGAGAATTTGGTTTCTGTATGGTCGTTTTAAACTTTCTTGTGCTGTTAACCTTTTTACATTACCACCAATTCCATCGCATGGTGACTTTCCGTGGGACGTGGCAAAAAAGTTCCATTCAATTTTGAGGGAAAATTCTGTCTCTAGTTGGCATAGATTGTAAAAGCTTTTACAATTTTTGTACTGTCCTGCACAACCATCAGTGAATAAATGCAATTTGGATAAATCAAGAAATTTTGTTTTTAATATTGGTATAATTAGTTGAAATATCTTGTATACATAAGTTACATTGTGTGTAATGTCGTCTGATATAAAACAGTAAGAAATATGTTTCACTACACCATTTTCTTCTTTATAGTATATCACTAATGGATGTAAAGAACATTGTTGGGTGTTCCAGTGATAGCTCTGTATTTCATCTTGGACTACAAAAGCATAATTTTCAGCAAAGTCGCCAAGAATGATAATGTTTGAATTATCCATATTTTCTTTTAGTTGATTAAGGTATTGTGATTGAGATTTGGCAATATAAGAATGAGATTGTAGCTTTTCAAAACAAGATACCAATAGTTCAATAAACGTTGGAACATCTGTTGTTAAACTCAATAGTGTTGCACGATCAGTAGTTTGCCATTGTTTGTAGTGTATCTCAAAATCATCTTCGTATTCTCCAAAAATCTCATACAAATACATGGTGAGCAGTTCTTTACCAGGACAATTATCACACTGTGCAAGCATGCATTCTTTGTTTTCTACTGAGCAAACAGTTTTCAAAAGTAAATCCTTATACGTTAGTTCAATATTTAAGGCATCCACTAGCAAAATGGCATTTTGGTGATAAGAACAAACACAAACAGAATGTGTACCACTTGCACCTCGCAAAATGCACCACTTTGGTCTAAGTGAAGCAAATTTTGAGTAACTTATTTGTATTTCTGGATTGTTTTCTTTGTATAATACATATAGTTCCTTTAAATTACACAAAAGCAGTTTTTTTTGTTTGTGGACGTTCTTTTGAATGCTGACATAATCTTTTTTTCCAGGCATAGTTCGACATAAATCACTTGAGTCATAAAACAATTTAACTGAATCTTCTATTTCTTTATGTAAGACTTTACCCTTATACAATGGAGAGATACCTAACAATCCTTTTTTATTAAAAATTTTTCTAGCCATCTTGGCCTGGTATTCTGTAACCGAAAAGTTATTTTGTACTTCTAATATTGACCAACTTGGGGGTGCCAGTGTTAGAAGTTGAACAATAGTTCGTTTGTCAGAACATAGAATTTTTTCTTTTACCAAGCTCATAATTTCATCAAAGTTTGCAGCCTTCTTTTTCATCCCATTGGTTTCATAACATAGTTTTGAGGAAAATTGAGTTTCAATTTTTCTAGTAGCGTTATACGCCATTTCGTTGATGCATGCAACTTTTTGCTTTCCTTCTGACAGTATATGTTTTAATGATTTTGAATGAGATTTTAGAGGAGATAAACTAAAATTTTTGAGTTCTTTATTGATCTCCCGTCTTATTTTTTTGCATGGTGATATTAGAAAATCCTCATCTTGTTCACTCTTACTTTGCTCCTCTTCTGTAAGTTCTTTTTTTCTGGCAATCTTTTGTTTACAAGGTTTGCAAAGTTTCTTCCCAGGAGGAATATTCAAACAATTTCTCATCATGACTTGTGACTCTTTTATTGTAACTACGCCAAGATTTTCTAAAAGTAATTGAATTGTATAAAGTATGTCTGCACATTAGTTCAAAACTTTCGTTTATTTTTTGAAAAACATAAATTAATGAAATATTTAAATTTTACAGCTACATACTTGTGATTTTCTTTGTATGTCTATTGAATGGATCACAACAAGCTTTCTGCCATATAGGATACATTTTCAAATATTTTGTATTATGTCTTTCACATAATATTTCTAAGTTTGATAATTCAATATTACAGCGTAAAGATATAATTATTTTTTCTTCATTGCTTAAAGTTTCAATAACATCTTGTTGGCCTTCGCAAGCATCTGATGTCATTAACCCAATAGAACACATCTTAATAAGATAAATTATTTAGTATGAAAGTATTTCCTAAAAATAAAAATAAAATTCTTCTACTTAATTGTATGTAAAAAAAGTTTTTTAATAAATATAATTTTTAATAAATGTTGTTCTTAATATTATTATTATTAATATTAATAAATGTTGTAAAAAAAGAAGTTTTTAAATAATTATATTATTTAAATTATTAATTTTTTAAAATTTAAATATAATCTTACCAATAAATGTTGTTCTATATCTGAACTTTTATAAACTAAACTTTTATAAACTAATTTTTAATAAACTTTTACAAACTATAGTTGTCAAAATTAAAAAAAATATCATATTAACATAACAATTATTTTTTATAAAATGTTTTTATATATAAACAAAACCGGATGTTTTTTCAGTTGTTAAGTTCATATAATTAAGTTATCATATAATTAAGACTTCCTTAAATATATAAAAAGTCTATTAACCAAAATTAATTCTTTACAGAATTCTATAATTTGCTACACATGTACTATCTTTAGCCATACCCTTTTAATTTTTTAATTAGTTTGCAATGAAGTGTATTGAATGCTTTTGCAGTAAGAAAAAAGCAATTCGAAGGATACAAAAAAAAAAAGATCTTTCCTACTTAGTTTTCAGTAAAAAAAAAAGCTCTAGTTTTAAATATATTAAATAATGATATAGTATTACATATTTCCAAATCTTTGGCTGTAGGATAATTGGAGCTTGATAAGAGATAACAATGATGTCTCAGTGGATTTAATCCTACTTTCTATTTTTTAACTCATCTACAACTTATCACTACTAAGTAACTACTGTTCATACAAAGTAGTTTGATATGTTTTATTGGCTAAATGGTTTAAATGACAGAGATATGGCAATGCCAGGTGTTATGAAACACTATTCTCCTCCCCTCTAACTGTAATAAAAAAAAGTTGTTTTCACCATGTCTTTTGCAATATGCTTTTTTTTAAGTATTCTTGGTAAATTGAACTAAATTAGAACATCACTAAAAATATTTTGTTGTTCCCTCACCCCTCCCCCTCGTTAGAAAATAGTTATGGGCACCCATAAAAGTGGTGTATCTTGGAAACTATGGTTCTATATGTTTTAGTTGTTTTTCCAGTTAGGTTTTTTGTGCCTAGTAAGATAATAAGTAGCTAAAAATATTAAAAGCAAAAAAAAAAAAATTTAGACGGGGGTGTTTTGAGATATATGACCCCTAAGTTTGAATATATAAATTAGGTGTGTTTTTAATTTTAAAGCATGTTCTGCTCATATTTCAGCATTCTAAGTGCATTTTTTGAATTCTGCATTATAAAAGCATTATAAATGCTAAATTTCATATTTTTATTTTCATTATTTTTCATTTTATTAGAGCAAACGTTTTTTTAAAATGACGCAGAAACCAGGTCATTTTGGGAAACCAGGTCTATATTAAAACCTTGATATCTTGTGAACGGCTGAACATTTTTGGCTAAAATTTTGCATGTGAACTTTTCTATATGAAATGCAACAGCTAAAGAAGTTTAAAGAAAATATGAGACCTATGGTTCAAAATATTGAAAAATTTGGGTGATTTGATGTGGAATTACCCATATAAAAAACTTACTTGAAATTCTTTGGTCAGAGGATTTAGCATTTTCTTCCTCATCGTCACTTTCTTCATGAACTCCATCTTCAGGAATAGCTAAAAAGTATTAGATATTTTGACTGAATATCGTTTTATGTTATGAAACGTTGTCCAAATATTATAAAAAATATTGTTCTTTTTTGTTGACCTCATAGCTGGAAAAAATCAATTGTTATTAAAGAAATACTAAATTTTAAAATGATCTATACAGCTGATTATACCGATGACTAGTAAAAAGCTGATTTATTATCTCACAATAGCTTTAGTACTACAACTATGGTATAAAAACAATGAATAGTATTTTTTGTTTATATTTAGAATGTCAATAAAATACTTACGCGCCATCTGAACACCGGGAGCATGAGGTATCATTCTAAGATTTTCATATAGCCGAGTTCTAAATAAAAATTTTGTATTAATGTAATTTATTTTTATAACATTAATATTAAGTAATAAAAGATATAATATTTATTGCCATTCTACAGATATTAATGTTATATAAAAATAACTTTTGTAAACACAATTTACACCACTTGTAATGACTGTTGTAGATTACAATGTTAACATTGTATGTTAAGGTTGTAATTTACAATAGTGATATTACAAGCCACATTATCTAAAAACAACAACTGCTGATTTAGTATTAATTTCTGAATAAATTATTATTTTTTTTAGGCAAAAAATATGAGTTAAAAAAAAAAAAAAAGAAGCTACGCTTATTATTTATATTAAAAGTTAATAATACCACTGAGAAAACAATGAGGTGGCACGATACAATTGCATAAAGATTTCTTTGGTTATGATAAAATTAAATTTAAAGAAAACTTCAAATTAAATTGTACTTATGACGATAGCTTAAAATATTCAAAAGAATTTTAAGTCCATAATATATAGAAAATAAAAACTGCCAGAAAATGTTGTCAAAGCTTCCAGAGTAGCAAACAATATTGGCACAATATTGTTTACAGTATATAAACTATATAAACATCATTGAAACAATTGTTTGCTACTCAAGTTGTTTAGTAAATTTGTTCAGAGCAATTTGATCACTGGGAATCAATCTATTTATAGATTCATTGATTCGACATTATTAGGAGATTCATTGATTTAACATTGTTTAGAACTACACTCATAGGTAACTATACTAATCACAGGTACCAGTCACAGCATAAACAAATACCACTGATTGCCAACTCATAAATCGCAGAGACTGTTAAATTTAAACTTTAGAAAAAAGTAGATGCTTCAATATTTATATATCTATGAATAGTGCAGTATTTGGTCTTTTTCATTATCTTTTATTAGTTGCCTTATTTTTTTATTTACTCATCTCTTATAGAATATACATAAAGTTTGTTGTAAAACTAGTGTCTGTTAAAATTGGCTACTAATCATGCTAGTCATTATTTGATTCTATATGTTTCTAACATTATAAATCACTTATCTATCCTTGTATAAAATACAACATAAATTATAATATTTTTAATAGTAAAATGCTTCAAGTCAAGTAATTGTTTTTAAACTTCAATGATCAGATTTTATACTACCGGTAAAGCAAATTATTAAAAAAGAATGATTTTTCTAAAAATAAAATTACAAAATAATATTGTAATTAATAATTCATTATTGTTACAATAAAAAATAATAATTCATTATAGTTACAATAACAAAAAAATGAAAATAATAAAAAACTAACTTGATTTTATCTAGATAGTCTGTAGTGTTTTGATTCTGCATATTTGATGGCTGAATATGCAACTTGAAGTCAGGTCCAAAATATTCAAAGTAATCATTGTAGGGTAGTTCTTAATTTTATGAAAAAAATATTTGAAAATTAAAATTTTTATAATGAAGTATCACTGAGTTATCACTTCTTATTAATCTAAAATAATATTGCATTCTTAGGTCTATACAAAACACTTTATGAGAAAATTTACAAGACAGTATACAAGAGCATCAATAAGCATTTGGATTTAGACAAACTATTTATGATATAAATAGATGTCTACAAGAACAAGAATAAACTTTTGTTTTCGTAGAAAACAAGAGTTTATTCTTGTTTTCAGCAATGTCACCCTAACTGCTGACCTAAAAGTATTTGAGATCTGCAAAAAAATTGCTGACTTTGTTTCTATATTTTATGGTAACCAGTTTGTATCAAATTTTTTTTGCCAATCTGATGGGTTGATATATATATATATATATATATATATATATATATATATATATATATATATATATATATATATATATATATATATATATATATATATATATATCCAAATGGTCTGAGTAGCAATAACTTAAAATAACAAGCTTTTAAATTTTTTTTGACAACATGCATTATCAATTACAATTTTCATAATCACAGGCTTGGCCAGGAAGGCGTGCTATTTCAAGTCTTTATATGACCACACAAATAATATTTTGTTTTGATGATTTAACCATGGTTTTTAACAAATGCGCGGAAAAAATTGGTTTTTAATTACGTTGAAAATAAATTACTTTGAAAGGTTTTATGCTTTTAAATTAAAGTATAATTGAAAGTTGTATAATTTTTTATTTATATTATTTAATTATATTAGATTTTTTTATAAGCAAAAATTAAAAAAGTAAAAATTAAAAAAAAAAATTAAATTTTATAAGCGATGAATTTAAACAGCGAAAGTCTCTTTAAAAATTTATATTAGACTTAATAATTTGAAATAATAAACTTTATATCAGAACCATTAAAGTTTTGGTTAAGTAAAAAAAAAACTTTTTTTAAAGCTGTTTGAATTAAATAACTTTGTTCTTTACTTACGTTTTTATAACGCATTTAAAAAAAGTGGCGCATTTAAAAAAGTAACAAGTCACTTCTAATGATTTTTTATAAAAACATTAATGAGTATATATTTTTTTATAATTATATAAATATTTATTTTTTATTATGTTTTAAATACAAAAAACTATAACCATTTTTTAAATAAACGATTTAATTTTTTTTTTTTTTTGTGCGAAGAATTCTTAAGAATATCTTTTTAAACTATTAAATGTGACCATTTATTTAACAATTCATTAAAGCTGTTACTTTAAAAGGGTTTCACATAATATTATATTATAAAAACATTAGTAAAGATAAACAATTCAAAGTTATTTATTTCAAACATAATTTAGATAATCTTATAGTTATAGTATTTTTTTTACGAAGATTTATTTGCTTCTTTAACGATAAGTTTTTTTTTAAAGTTTAAAACTTAATAAAAAACTTATAGTTAAAGAATCTTAAGTTAACTATAAATTTATAGTTAAGATTTGATTTAATTTTTTTTTAGCGTTTTTAAAATGTATACAAATTTTCAAAATATTTTAACAGCCGTGGTCAAGTTAAGTAAAACCAAATAGTATTTGCGTATGACATGAAATTGCACGCCTTCCTGGCCAAGCCTGTAATCAGGTCTAATGACAAAATTTTTGACTTTTGTATATATAAAATGTATACAAAATTTTTATTAGGTTACATTACTAACAAAATGAAGATAATATATTTAAATTACCATTAGGTATATCAGCATCAAGCGCAACTGATGTTTCATATGTCCAGCACCGTGCAACATTACGGATTGTGTATCCTCCTCCACCAAGCATTAGCAAGGGAAGATTAAACTTTTTAATAAATGCTACACATGATGCATGACCTATAAAAAGAAATTAAAAAAAACTTATTAACTTTAATGTTTACTATTTTCTTTGAAAGAAAAATCTTAAAAATTTTGTGTTCAAAATTAAATAAAGATTTGTGATTAATCAAATACATATATACATATAAAATATACAGAACTGCAGATAGTTCCAAAATATAAGCTGTGTTTAAACAATATACATAGCTATGATTTATGCATATTCTTTACTGATATTTTATTAACTAAAATTTTTGATGAAAATATTTTTTGTAAATTACAACATGCAACAGTAGTTTTGTTTATTGAAGTTATGGTTGTTTTCAATTTGATTTCAAAAATGATTTCCATCATTGCAAAACTTGTTCTTTTCATCAACTAATTTTTTCAAAAAAAAGTGTATGTGTTAAGCAGTGCAACTGTAACAATTCATTCCTTTGTAACTGCTGAGAAGTATATTGACCAGATCTTTGTAACTACTTGCTTTATGGTTACTTAAAATTCCTTTAAATAAAGCACAAACAGTACAATAGACATTTCTCTCAAGTAATCACACTTTCAAGTCTTTTAGATTTTAGCAATTTAAAAATTAATAAAAAAATAATGAAGCAAGCACGATTCAACAAAAAAATAATGGAGCAAAATAATTTACTAATTTTTTTATAACTTTCTTTCTTTCAAGTTCAAACATATGTTGCTTACAGCAACATATGTTTGAACTTGGTTGTCTTTATAATTTATTTTATTACTATTAAAACATGCAAACCTACAAATATAGCATGATATATTAACTGTATATACACATGAATACTAAACCAAAAAAACCTTCAATATAATTTTAACCTTTTAATGATAAATTGAAACAACCAAGCCGGTCTCCTGACAATGAATCAGCACCACACTGTAACACAACAGCATTTGGTTGATAAACTTCCATTACTTTAGTTATTATCTAAAAAAATTAAAATAAATAACAGAAATGGAAATAATTTTGGCAGAGATATATAACAGAAACTAAATTTTATTTAAATTTATTATTATAACCAGGGTTGGGATCAAATATAATTTATCAAATACAAATACAAATATATTTCAAAATACAAATATATATCCAAAAGTAGGTTAATTTTAGATTTCCAAATGCAAATTCATATACAAATATATTTAATTGGCATTTAGCAAATACAAATATAAATATTTGAATGTTAGGTTTAGAAAAAATACAAAATTATTATTGATACAATATTTATATACAATATTAATAAAATAGTATACTAAATAGAAGAATGAAAATAGGTCTTTTCTCTTGGCTTTTCCCAAAAAAAGACTATTTAATTTATTTTACAGTGTTTTTTGCAAAAACTTTGGCGAGCGCATAAAAAAGCGCTTGCCAAAAAATTAAAACCGTTTTATTTTAAATTGCAACAAAACTTTTTCTTTTCATTTGTTCAACTTTTATAAAAAATGGCTTTTTTTTTACCTTTTTTTTAAAATTATTTTGTTTAGTATTTATTCAAAACATTTTTTTTGGTATTTTTATTTTAATTTAAATAACAGCTAACTTAAAAATGACCAACCTGCCAGCGATTTATTGTGCGCTGATATTAAATTTTAAATGGAGAATATATATATGTATGAATGTATATATATATATATATATATATATATATATAGGCTTCAGCAGGAATAAAAACCGTACGGGCTATGAAAAGCCTGTCTTAAATAGACTTGGCGGGCTATGAGGGCCGCCCGTCTAGATGGTCTTGCACGGGCTTTTTTAAACTTTAAAAAAAATTCTAAAGTTTGAACTTTTTTTTTTTTAAATTTGTTAATTTCTCTTCTTTTTTTGAATGAAAATGTCATCGCTTATAATTAATACTTAACTTAACGCTGCTGCTCACCATTCGTGCACCTTTACACGGATTTTTTTACCATACTTGGCCTTTGAGTTTTATCATAAATTGCTTTACTTCTGAACTCGCCTAATGGGGCTCTTTCAAATCTTAATAATCTGTCAGTATCTGCTTAATCAGTAATGAGATCAAAAACTTTGTTTCATCAGCTTAATTAGTGATAAGATCAACAATTTTTATTTGATAACTTCTGTAGTAAAGGATGAACATTATGTTATTATTGAATTAGTAAAGTAACTTTTAAAGTCAGGTGATTTATTTAAATCATGCATTTTAGTCTTTTGTCAATTGTATTTAAATTTATTAATTTATAAAATTAATCTCTAATTTTTAAATTAAAAGACGACTCAAGAAGACGTTGCTCATTTCAAAGGTCAAGAGGTCAAACTCTTGATAAAGTTAGTGTTTAAAACACTTGCATCTCACACGGTCAACTCAATGTTACATGTTAAAGAACAAGATCGTTTAATACCTTATTTAAAAGAAGTTATAAAAATCCGTATAAAAAACCAGATTGTTTGATAGTTTGTTTTTGAAAGTTGTTAAACATTTATTACGAGGTATTTCAAAAAACAAAAATAAGGTTGTATTTGTAAAGTTTCAAATTTATATATTTTTCTTAATTTATATATTTATCTATATATGTGTGTTATTTATATTGTGTTTTATTGTGTATATATGTGTTAAGGTTATATGGGTTTATATTTTGTAAGTGTGTAAATATATGAAATGTTTCAATGTTTGTGGTGTGTTATATGTAATATGTTTATAGTTTGTAAGTGATAATTATGTTGTTTGCATGGTTTCAAATTGTTGTGACTGGGCTTAGTTTACAGCAAGATTGTTGACCTCGCTAGCCAAGTGGTGTACTTTGCTAAAATGTGACCTGGCTTTGTTGAGAGCAAAAATATTGTCCTCGCCAGCAGAGTGGTGTATTGTCATAATAAAACACATAAATTAGTTCTGTTTGTAATTAGTGTATTTCTAAAATGTGTTGAAAAAATATTGTTTAAAAAATGTGTTTTAATGTTGTTATCCTCTGTTCTTAACAATGTATGCTTTTGACAATAAATAAATTTTGTTAAAAAGCAGGCTTTACTAACAGCTCCTCCTCATTAAAATTTTTAAGAGTTTCGATTTTCTTCATTAAATATGTTTAACTCAAATTTTTTTTATATATATAAAAGTAAGTATACAGCGTGTTGAAGCATAAGTTTTAATAACTTTTGTTAAATTTTTAGGATTTTTTGTATAGAGAATGTTTTCTTTATATTATTATTTTTATGTTTTGTATGTACATCAATATATATATATATATATATATATATATATATATATATATATATATATATATATATATATATATATATATATATATATATATATATATATATATATATATATATATATATATATAGACACACACACACACAATAAAATATATAGAATTAAAATGTCTATACATATATTATATGTATAGACATTTTAATTTTTTTGCCTTAAATTATTGTCCCTTTTTCTTTAGAATATTAAATATCTAAAAAAAAAAAAAAATAGTAAAAGAAGTTTCAATATTTCCAAGTTTCTTCACTTGAAGCAAATATATGATTGTTTATAGAGGTTCTTTTAGTAGTTTTGTATTTATTTATTGCAAATCTTGCGTTAAATGCCTTTCAAAGTAATGAAAGGGTTTTGTTGATGGATGATTACATTTTATCCTTCCATGCTAGCAGTACCTGCTGAGTTGACAGGCCTTAAATTTTTTTAATTTGCTTTATTTATGAGTTCTTATATGTAAAAAATTTGTTTTTTAAATTACATTTGTTTTTTTTGTTTTTTTTGATTAAATACTTATAATATTTTGTCAATAATTGATAACAACTACCATAAATATATAAACAATACTTAGTTGAAAATATTACATTAATTTATAACTTTAGTTTAAGTTTTTAATAAAACTATGTTATCTTAACACAATGCTATATATGGTAGAATATAATAGATTATAGTATTATGCTCTGTATTATTTCCTTACACTTTATTTTAGATAAGTTTAAAAAAGAAACTTCAACTTTTATTATATTAGGCATCATTTTTACACACTCCTTTGATGCCTAATTATGTCTAATAATTTAAGAAATGAAATTATTAGACTTCGTCAAAATGAAAGAAGGCAGGCTAGGCGAGCTGAGATAAACCGCCGTCGAAATGAAAGAGATGAGCCCAGGCGAGCTGAGATAAATCGTCGTCGAATGGAAAGAGATGAGCCCCGGCGAGCTGAGATAAATCGTCGTCGAATTGAAAGAGATGAGCCCCGGCGAGCTGAAATAAATTGTAATCAAAATGAAAGAAATCAGGCTAGGCGAGAACTTAATAGGTATAATATGCATCGCATAGCAAGAAATAATATTGCTATAGAGAGTAACTACCTCGGAGAATTAAACCATAATTGTCAGTATTGCAGTGCAAAGAAGTTTTTAAATGAAACTCATTTTTTGTGCTGCCATTCAGGAAAAGTTGCATTAGCTCCTCTTTCTCTTTATCCGCCATTGTTGACTGGTTTAATGACAGGAAACCATGTTGATCATGCTGTAAATCAAAATTTTTTTAAACACATAAGGAGTTATAATTCCTCTTTATCTTTTGCTTCCTTCACTGCCGAAATAGCTCCTCCCTCAAATAATGGCCCTTTCTGTTTTAGGGTCTGTGGGCAAATTTTGCATTGTGTTGGAAATTTAAGGCCTGCAGAAGGTTGTCTGCCCAAATATTGTCAGCTGTATATCTATGATCCTAATGCAGCAGTGTCATTCAGAATGGAACAACCTGGTAATGATGGTTGTATACATGAGTTAATGCAACTCTTGCAAACATTAATTAATCAAGAAAACCCATTTGCTCTTGCATTTAAAAACATGGCAGAAGTAGAGGATGAAGAAATCCGCCAAGCAGCTTTAGAAGGTAGACCAACCTCTGTTGTAAGAATGTCTTTGCTTGAAGGTCATGATAGACGTCGATACAATCTTCCTTCCCATGAGGAAGTTGCTATTGTGTTTGTGGGAGATGATGGTGCTCCACCTGCATCCAGGGAAATTGTTATATACCCTCGAGGTCAGCCTTTAAGAACAATTTCGTCTATGTCTGCAAATTTGGATCCTTTGGTATATCCAATATTCTTCCCGAGAGGTGATGCTGGATGGCACAATCAACTAGAGCACAACCCTGACCGTGCAACCCGTGTTAGAAACCATGTTACTTTGTCTCAGTATTATAATTATAGGCTTGCTGTTAGACAAACTTTTAGTCCTATATTCTATGGTAAGAAACTTTTTCAGCAATATGTTGTTGATGCATATGTCAAAGTTGAGGGACAGCGCCTTGCTTTTATTAGAAATAACCAAAACAAACTTAGAAGTGAGCAATATGATGCATTGCATGAACATGTAATTAATCGTGCTAATGATCTTAATGTAAGACCAGGCCGTGTTGTTATATTGCCTTCTTCATTTTTAATTTTCTTTTATTTATCTCTAGCTGCTGCTTCTTCTGTTACAAGTAAGTTGTTCTATTCACTTATACTTGACTTAAATTGGATTAATTGGTTTTATTGCATTTTTAACTTTCTTTTATTTATCTCTAGCTGCTGCTTCTTCTGTTACAAGTAAGTTGTTCTATTCACTTATACTTGACTTAAATTGGATTAATTGGTTTTATTGCATTTTTAACTTTCTTTTATTTATCTCTAGCTGCTGCTTCTTTTGTTACAAGTAAGTTGTTCTATTCACTTATACTTGACTTAATTTATGGATTAATTGGTTTTATTGCATTTTTAATTTTCTTTTATTTATCTCTAGCTGCTGCTTCTTCTGTTACAAGTAAGTTGTTCTATTCACTTATACTTGACTTAATTTATGGATTAATTGGTTTTGTTGCATTTTTAACTTTCTTTTATTTATCTCTAGCTGCTGCTTCTTCTGTTACAAGTAAGTTGTTCTATTCACTTATACTTGACTTAATTTACGGATTAATTGGTTTTATTGCATTTTTAATTTTCTTTTATTTATCTCTAGCTGCTGCTTCTTCTGTTACAAGTAAGTTGTTCTATTCACTTATACTTGACTTAATTTATGGATTAATTGGTTTTATTGCATTTTTAATTTTCTTTTATTTATCTCTAGCTGCTGCTTCTTCTGTTACAAGTAAGTTGTTATATTCACCTTTACTTGACTTATTACATTGATTGATTGCTTTTATTGTACCTTTTGTTTTTTAATATAGCTACAAATGTGCTTTCCAGTTTAATTAGTTAATGTAATAAGTCAAGTATTAGTGAGTAAAATAAATAAGTTGTTGTGCTCACTTGTACTTAATTTATTACATTATTTGCTTTTATTGTTTTTTTACAGTAGATTTTTTGTAAGTATTACCTTGGTACATAGTTGTATTTATATATAATTTTTTTTTCAGGCTCGAAGTCATGGGAAGAATTCAGAAAGTATCGCTCCCAGCATCCAGGCCCTCTATCTATGAGGGCCTTCCATCGCTGGTGTTTGTATGGAGACGACCATCCCTCCTTTAGATGGAGGGATGGCACCCCATACAACACGGGGAATAGAGCGGATGCTGGGAGGAGAAGACAACGTGGCGCAAAAGTTGTCAATAATTTTTTTACATATTAAAATGTAAAGAAATTGACAACTTTTGAGCCACTTCATTTTTTTTTTTGTAATATATTTTTGTAAATTTATTTTTGTGTTGTTTTTTATTTTTCCCATGAATGTTAAATGTTATCAAAGTAAATCATTTAAATAAAGACACCTTTATCAACAATGCTCATTAACTAGAAATAAAAGTCACGGTCATACATTTGATAAAGTTAATGTTAATCTCAAAGGGATTTGGTTTTCACACAATCAAATTCTATCTAGCACCTTCCAGAACTAAGAATATAAGTGTGTGGTGTCAGTAGTTTAAAATATGTATAATAAACTCAGAATAACTCAATAACCCTCAACAAAACTATGAACTAATTTTTAAATTCAAGTTGAGCTTTTTTATTTATTAATACCTCCCCTCCCAATAACTCTAATTTTCCTTAAAAAACTAATTTTTTTGTCCTTTGGAGGTGGTTCTGCTATTTAATTAATTGTTGTGATGTTTTATGCAAATAGATTTAGCTCACATTCATGTTGGTCTGTCAGGGTTATGTAAAAATAAAAAAGTAAGTTTCTTATTCGCATTTTTGAGTTTTCAAAAGTATTGATTGCATGACATGTTAATTTGTAATTAATGTGTATGATTATGATTATGCGTTTAAATAACTTTGTTCCATTTTTAGTTCCGTTTCTTATAGCTGACTTGATTATGGCTTACCTAAAGCTTAATATTTATGAAACAATGATTCAATTTAAATTGTATTATAAGTAGCTCTGTTGAATAAATTTTTTTTTTGTAATTTGTACTAAAGGTTATATTTTTATTTTATATCAAGAAAAATATGTTTTTAAGTAAATATCTATATTTTTTTATTTTGGGATTTATTGGTTTAAATGGATATAAAAATCATTTTTGCTTTGTCTTTCATATTTCCTTTTATTATATATGAATAGGAACCATTTATGCTTTAATCACCATTAGCACTCGAAGTTTCCATTTGCATTAAGTATCGATTTTTGGCACACACAACAGGTTTAATAACTTAGGCAGTAAAAGCAGCTTGAATGATTTGTTAAGAGTCTTTAAAGAAACGCTTTTACGAAAAGCATTAAATAGATAAAGCTAACTTATTTAAAATAATAAGTCTTTAACCCGTTTTTCTATATCCAAATTTACTTTTTAAATAAATGTTGATGAAAGGGTAAAATATCGTTATAGCCTACGTTAATTTTAAATTCTTTTTAAATTAAAGGAAAGAGTTTTGATACTTATTTAAATAGGGTTAATAAAATATTTTAAATTATATTATATATATTATATTTAAGAAATTATTAAACTAAATTAAATAAGATTTTTAGATGAAACAGTAAAAATAATTGTTTAAAATACGTGCGTGCAAATAATTCCTACAAATACTAAACGTAAAATAACGCTTACAAACACCAAAAGTATGTTTGCAGTGAATAAAGTTAAGTTCAAAGATAAATAGGAAGAAATGTTTAAAACTGTTTCAATGATAACATTTATTTTTAATTACTTTTGTTGTAAGTTGGGATGAAAAAAAAAAGTCACTGGAGTATGAACTCCCGGGGTAAGATGACTATAAATGTCTAAGTGTTGCGCGTCTACCAATTAGCCCATAAACGTATTTTCTATTTAAATTTAAGATTATTTATGACGCATAAGAAGTGTAATTAAAAATTCAAAACCAAGTTTGCAACAACTGAGTTTAAATAAAATCTAATTAGATGTGTATATGTTATGAACGTTAACTAAGGCGTACTTTAACGGCGTCACGTGTTGAATGTTTTAGCATTTTTCTAAGTTCGTAGTCTTTTTTACGTTTTTTCTTATTAAAATTTTTATAATCGGCATAATATTAAAATCGTTTGAAGTTTTTAAAAGAACATTTTAACAGAAATGTTTTTGTCATATCAAAAAGTAAGTATAGTTTTTTATATGTACATTTTTAAACGGTTTTAAAAAAATATTGAGGTAAGGAATAAGTATAGAAAAGGTCGGTGTAGAATAGATTTACTAAGACCCTTAGTTTACGTCCGGATAGCTATAGATAAGTATAAAAATGGTCGGTTCGGTAAAGACCCGTATTTTACGGGTCACCCCAGCTAGTTGAATATTAAACATTTTATGAATTGCACTAAAATAATATGTTAGAAAGTGATTAACTGTTTAAAATGCTTAATTACTTAAGTAATTAAAACACTGCAGTAAATGAGTTGGATAATACTTAAAACTAAGATTTCAATAATTGTTTTTCAAAGTTTTCACTTGCACAGATCTAATTTCGTTTCACGTGGGTTAGTTGTTTTATGGTTGCTTTTGTTTAGATTTCTTACTCGAAGGAACTTTATTCAGTTTTTTATGTTTTTTTTTTTAATCTTTATTCCAGATAATATCTGGCAGATATAGTCAAACGAATGAACGTGAAAACGACGGGAAAAATCCTCGAAACAACCATGGCGTTTCATCACGTTTCCTTATTCAAGCATCCTAACGTGTTTTTTTACCGAAGTCTTTTTGAGTATATTTATATATTATTGATTTATTCAAGTATTCGATTAAATTATACAGGTTTTTATCGTGCTTTTTTAGTTCATTCGTTTCTCTTATTCTTTGTGAATAAAAATATTACATAATATTTTCAAAATCTAATTTTTTTAATTATTCAGCAAATAGTTTAAAATCTTTTTTTTTTTTAACCTTGAATCAATGAGCTCGATAGTTTTAGAATTGTTTGGTATTAGCTTGGTAATATGATACAAAACTATGTTATTTTTCAAATTCAATTATTTATATACTCTTGCATTCTATTGGGCGTGCAAATTAAAAACTTAAACTGTTATTTATATTTTTATAACTTTGCTTTACCTATGCCTATCCTGATCGGAAATAGTTATTCTGATACGTGAATAAAAAATTTGAAATCTAATTTCTTTTAATAAAATAAGTTTTTATTTAGAAGTACTAATAATTTCTTATGATACCGGGGCTTCCGTTACTTTATATACAATACAAGCATGTATATAAGCGTATGTATGTTGCTAGCTTTAACGTTCGTAGTGCCCTCTATAAATGCTAATGCTTTTAATTTTGCCAGACCTTTTAACTCGCGAAGCAATTCTTTTTTATATTTTATACAAACCATACACCATATCTTCACAACAAAAATTGTTCCATTCTCCACCTCAGTTTCTTTTCCACAGACTCCATCTTTACCCAAACTCAAAAATGTTGCTAATGTAACTCTTCTACCAGATGATGCCATTACTATCTTTACTGAAAAACTTGAATAACTTGAAAAACTTGAATGACTGGATAACTTGAATAACTTCATAGCTATAAAGCAACACTATTTATATTATCTACAAAAATTGATTAGACGTTTGTTGATTTTTAATGAGATATTTCATTTTCAATAACGAGTTATATAATTGCATATTAAATAAACTGCCGTCTCTTTAAGAAAAAACGTGAAGTTAACGCGGAAGTTAACGCGGAAATATCACTTTAAATGTCTTTAAAGTTAGACAAACTAGTTTATCGGAAAAAAGCGAAATACATGGATAATTAGTTTATTATCGTTATTATTATAAACATTGAAAAACCAAAACAACATGATACTTCTTGTGCATCACATGTGTATATTTCCCTATTTAATATAATAGTTATTAAATTTTGAACATAATATGGTAACTGTTTGGTATTATATCAAACAGTTATCGTCGTTTAAAAAACTGTAAGATTTAGTTATATTATTTTCTACATCATGTTATACAATAATGATTAAATTGTTTAATTTTTATATTTAAATATAAACAATTATAAGTTGGAGTTTGCTATCCATAGCAAAGAAGAGAGAAGTTTTAAAAGAGTATCTTAATAAAAAAACATCAAAATATTCATCTTTTTTTTTACACAAAACTTATGTTTCAGACGGGCTTTATTTCGCTCGTCTAAACTGACTTAGACGGGTGCGGAGACGGACACGGGCTATAGCCCGTCATTCCTGCCGAAGCCTGTATATATATATATATATATATATATATATATATATATATATATATATATATATATATATATATATTAATGTGATTAATTTTCTAAAATTGGAGAGAAGATTCAGAAAAAATTGCTATTTTAAATGTAGTTTATCTGCAGAACAATTTATGAGACAAAATTATTTCAATAGAATTTCAACATGTTTCAAAACATCAACTAAATAAATATTGACTACTCGCTGACCACTAATATTTTTAAATTTTAATGGTCAGCCAGTAAATATAAATTTTTATACCTATAAAAGTATTTAATTACAATTATTCCTAACAGTAAAATTAAAATTAAAAAAATAATAATAATTACAGGCTGAAATATCTTTTCATATGCATCATCATCAATTCCATCACGTAGAGGAAAGTTTACAGCATAATATTTTCCTTTTCCAGCACCAATATCCTAAATAATACTCAAAATAAAATCAAAGACAAATTTAAAGAAAAGAGATTCTTTACTTTACAGATATAAAATTGAAGACATCAGTGGATGCATTAAGTAACAAAAACAAAAACTTAGATATTTGGAGTTAAGGTTTTGAACATATTTTACACATTTTAGATATTTTTCTATATCAAAGATATTAAAATATTTATGGAGCATTATAGTAATCAAACATAGCATTGTTAATGGATGAATTCATTAAAGTCCCTTAGTGAAACTGTATTCATGTTATTTGTTGCGAATTGATTTGTAACATAACTCCTTCACCCACTGTGAAAATAATACTTTAGCACATTTTTGTGCAGTGTTATTAAGCTCTCTTAAAAGAGTGTTCATTAAAACTTTTATTTATGTAAAAAAGTTAAAATTTTAAATATTGTAATTCATCATACACTTATGTCTTCAATTAATCAAATCAACTAAATTAAATCTTCATACTCGTAAATCACCAGTTCCAGGAAAGTATTCACCATATTTATGAAAAGATACTGTCATAACACGATCGGTGGTATAAAATGCTTCTTCAACCCCATCTCCATGATGAATATCTATATCAACATATAACACACGTTGATGATACTTTAAAAGTTCAAGGATTGCCAGAACAATATCATTTGTATAACAAAATCCAGATGCTTCTGACTTTTTTGCATGATGGAGTCCACCAGCCCAATTTACTGCGATATCAGCTTGTTGCTTGTTAAGTTTTACTGCTCCAGCTAGTTCAAAAAAAAGTACATATTATTATCAAAATAAAATAATTATTTTATTTTTAAATAATTATTTTATTTTCAAGTCAAAATATAAAAAACACGACTAATAATTTATATAATATTACTAATACAGGAAACATACCAACAGAGCCCCCTGTTGAAATCTGACAAAACTCATATAAGCCATCAAACACTGGACAATCTTCTCCAACATTAACTGATAGTAAATACATTAAAACAAGATCAGTAAAATACCAAGTAAATTAAAACAGGTAACTTAATGTTCACATGTGGAAAAGGTACATACATCGAATGACTTGAATAAGTAGAACATGCAAGAAGTGCCACTACATCTACTCAAGGTTTTGGCTTGGACTAGAAATCTTTTTATTGAAAAAAAAAATGTGATCTTGTTATTCAATCTTTTTTTTTTGTCAACGGACAAACTTCAAGGGTTGTATATGTATGTATGTATGTATGTATGTATGTATGTATGTATGTATGTATGTATGTATGTATGTATGTATGTATGTATGTATGTATGCATGCATGTATGCATACATATATTTATTTTTCTGCGTGGTGGCCTTGTTTGTTAAGGTTTGTGTTTGGGAGTTATAGAGTTAAGAGAGGGTTGTAAACACAACTAAAGCAGCCTCCTTGACTGTAGTGGCCTTCTTGGCCTTGGGGAGGCGAATTTATATATAAATATGGCTTGTGCAAATAAATAATAATAATTTTTTCAAAACAACAAAAGTTAATATTTAAAGTAGAGTTTAAAGTCGCAGTTTACTTATATAAGCAAAAATAGTAAAAAAACATCAAACACATAATAAAATACTGTTTTAATAAGTATTATGTAATTAAACAATCTGATAATATGAATACGCTAATTTAATATTATTATTATTATTAGTTGAGTTACGTCATTTTCTAGGCTTTTCTATTTTAAAGTAGTTTCTAGGCTTTTCTATACGCGATTTTTTTTTAAATTTTATTTACTAACAACGCGTATTACGGGTTGCTTACTGCTAGTAATAATAAAACAACAATAAAAAACTAAAGAGTTTTAGTAACTTTTAAAATACTATTTAAATTTTATATTTTTAGCTAAAAACTTTTAAAAATAAAATATACTTTTAAATACACATTAGTTTTATTGTTGCCTTTTTAACTTTAATAATCTAAGTGAAAATAATAGATACACAATTATTTAAAACTTAAATCTTTTTTAATAAAGTGTAAAAAAAAATTGTTTATTATTAAATTTATGTTACATAACATAAAAATAATTGTATTATTTTCATTCATTTAAAAACTTCTTTAGTTTTGTTTATAAAAGTTGAGAAAAGTTTTGAAAACTAATCATAGTTACTAGCTGTGAAGTTCGAAATTTTTCATTCCATTTTAATTTCATTCAGTTTTATTTTTTCCATTATTTATGTTTGCTCAATTCATAGAAGAATTTTTATTTTGGTTGAAGAATATATTTTGTTCGCTATGTTTCAGTACGAATTTTAAATTTTTATATCTTTAAACAATATCTTTTAATTTAATTTTCAAATCTTTTGATTTTTATATTTTTAATTTAAAAAATTTAATTTAAATTTCATATCTTATAATTACTTGCTTTCTCACTTGGATTTCAGTGCAATTTTTTAAATTAGAAAAAAATGTTTTAAAAAGCAGAAGAATAACAAAAGAACTTTTTAAATATGAAAATAAAAAGAAATACCACACAAAATAGTCTTTATAAAATAATAAATTGTTTCAATAAAAAGCGATATAAAACTTTTTTATAATTTTTTTTAACTATTAAAATAGGGTTTAAAAAATTCGTGATCTAAAAATGCAACGTTATCTATAAAAATTTATTTAGAAAACATTAGGATGCTTGAATAAACATCAGACAACGATTGCATAATCAATTTTATTTTATATGATTTTTTATTAAATAGTTGCAGAAGTTGCTAACTTTTTTAAAAAGTATTAAATTTATTCATTTTTAAATAAACAAAAAATTACGACAAGAAAGTTTTTATAACTAATATATATATATATATATATATATATATATATATATATATATATATATATATATATATATATATATATATATATATATATATATAGATATATATTTAATCATTTCATGTTTTTACGTTTTTTTTTTTGCAGGGTTTTTGCAGTCTTACATATTTAAATGTGATTTTGACTTTAATATTTATAAAAAATTTTATTGGCCATATATATGGCAATAATTTGATCCATATTTAATTATTGTTATATAATTATTACTATTAATAACATCTATTTTACTGTTATATAATTGCTATTGTTTAATTATATATCACTTTTTTTTTCTTTCATTTGCTATTTTCTAAAGGTTTTCAGTTTAAAAAATTTATACTTTTAGTTTTTTTAAACTTTCTCGAATTATTCAATTAATAAATCATTTATTCTAAAATATATTATTTCAATGATATTTACAAATAGTAATGCTAATAATGTTAAGTTAATGCCTAAAACACTGATCTTTTTATATTTAATTATTACCAATAATAGTGATAATAATTACTTTAAAATTAATCTTTTGAAACGTCTTATTAAATTTACACAAAATGCTTTTACAAATTACTTCTCTATTGATTGTTTATTAAATGAAAAAATTTTATTTAAATTATTGAAAAGAAAAAACTATAATATTTTTAAGTTGTATAAACATTTTTTTCAAAAAGTTGCACACAAAAAATGTTTAAAAAAATAATGTAGCCTTTTTAAAATAGTAATTTTTAATTATTTCATGCTTTTATTAGTAAGTCAAGTTTAAAAAAAAAACTTTTAAACAATTTTTTGTAAAAATAGAAACTAAAGAAAATAGAAAATAAAACAATTAAATCGTGGGAAGATTTAACTTAGCTTATTCATAATTTAAAATAAGTTAAAAAAAAAATCAGGTTTACTAAGAAAACTTTCAAAGACAGGTACTATAAACTAAAAAAAACTCTTTTCCTTGTAAAAGTCAAAATTTGATTGGAAATGCAAAAAGAGCCTATCCTAACATGTAACATTCTTGATCAAGCAAAGGCATTTAACCTGGTCAGTATTTAGTCATTTACCTGGTGGTAAATTTTTCAACTTATACTAGAAGAAAAAATACCACATTACCTCGCAGTTAAATTTAGTCAATAAACAAAACATGCCAAAGTGATCTCCACCATGTCTCTAGTAGTACTACATCTAACTTGTTTCTCCGTGCAGCGGCCTTGTTCGTCGGGGCTAGTGTTTTGAAGTTATAGAGTTGAGCGAGGATTGTAACCTCAACTAAAGCAGCCTCCTCAATTGCAGTGGCCTTCTTGGCCTTGGGGAAGTGAATTTACAATTAACATTTTAAAAAATGTCAAAACCCTGTCAAAATGTCAAAATTTCTAATAAAAAATTATGTTATCAAAGTGGACATTCCATAGCTTTTTTTGTATACAACTTTTTGTCATTATATTTTTTTGTTACATCTGATGACCCTATTGCCTGAAACTTATGTTTATATTATGTGAATATACTTTAAGAAAAGTTATGCAATTAAATATATCTTACTAGTTATTTATTTTTCACTATAATATTTGCTCTCCTTATAATATAACATGCTGTATTGAGCACTCTTACTGGAAATATTAACATAATATCTACAATATATATTCTAATATATATCATAAAAACATAAAGGTGATCTGTCTGTAGATTTTTTTGTTTTTGCTAAGGTAAACTCGAAAACCATATTGCATAGAAAAAAAAAAGAAGTAACAAACGAACTTTGATTGTAATTGATCTGAAAGAGAGCAAAAATTATTTTTTTATTATTCAAGAAAAAATTTCAAACAAGCAAAAATTTACATTTTTCTGAATGAATATCTTGAAATCATTCTATATTTTAAAGCAACAAATTTTATATTTATTCCATTGTCTTTGAATTTCATAACAAGTTTTAATTTACTTTTTTAAAATCAAACACTCAGTTTGTAACCAAAAGTTTTAAAATTAAATGAGTTACAGCATATAATTATTTTTTAATTCATTGTATTGTCCTGAAGAAAAACCGACCTTGGTAAAATAAACAGAAAATTAGTTATTTACTATTTGAAACCAAAATTTTTTTCTAGTTTTCATAAAAAAAATCAAAAGAAAAACAACAAGTATTTAATATCTTTTTGACACTCTTTATTGTGCGTCCTTACCACCCCAACGGTATTAAAACAGGTTGAATTTATCTTTATACTATTAAAGCTGGGTTCATCCCAGTTTTAATAGTATAAACATAAATTCAACATTAATAAAATTTTAAAGACTTACAGCGTTGCATTTGTTTATTAAACTCTGATGTATTTTCAGGTCTTATAGTACGTAGAAACTTGATGTAATCATCTGAATGATATTTTGTAAGTTCTTCAAATGGTGCTTTGTGTGGTCTCTAGATTTTCAAATACTGATAATTAAACTGAAACTATGAAATACTTTATTCAAAAAGGGTTAAAAGCATTCTAATAATAAATGAAGTTAATGTTAAACTATTTTGGTTTAAAGAATATATATGAAATTATAGTCATGGAAAGTGTGCAAAAAAATTTATTAAACTTCAGATATAAATTCGTACTTACATATATCTCCATTTTTCTATACAAGCCATAGTTTAAAAGTAAATTGTGTGTCATTCGTATACGATGAGGCTTCATTGGGTGACCTTGTCCATAATAATAGTTTCCAACATCTCCTAGAATTATATTATTACAAACTTAATTAATAATTACAACTATTAAAACTAGATTTTTTAAAACTTTCTAAAAAAATATTTCTTTTTTTAGAATTTAAGATAAATATCTTTAAAGACTCTAACTATAATATACAGACACTTTTGGCTTTTACTAATTACTTGTGCATTATCAAATTACTGGCAGTAAAAAAGACTTTTGTTTATAAAGTTTAAAAAATATTGCTCACTTTTAAATTATAAATTCTAAAAGCAAATTATAAAGTTATAGGCCTTCAAAGGCTTGACTACTCTATTCAGTATACTCACAGATAAAATTGATAAGCATCAAAATAATAAAAAGTAATTTTTACAAACGCTTACTCTAAAATACTCGCTTAATCAAAATTGTGTTGATTTCAATTTGCGTCATTAATTAGATTTGCTAATCATAGACAAAAGTCACACATTTCATTTTTTTATTACTATAACGTTTTGTAAAATGATCATTATTTGGTGACAAGAGTCACAAATTGCATTTTTAAATGAAATATATAAGCAAACAATTTTTTTAACAAGACAAGATTGTTTATAAGTAAAAAACAACTATCATTAAAAACAAGATGGCTTTTAAATCCCTTGAGAAACAAAACTATTTAAATACAACCATCTTCCTAAAATAATTATAATCATCTTTAATCTAAGACTCTTTTTTTATGGATGAAGATTTGTTTAAATTAATATCATTTGATATATAATAATATCATATATGCCTAAATCTGGCTTTTATAAAACTAGTATTTTCTTCCAAATTCTGTGTCTGATTTTAAATTCTGTTTATGAGTTCCATTGCATAAACTTGTTTTTCCCAGTTTTTTTTTTAATAAGTAACAAAATTGACATTTTAAAAACTCTTAAACTATAATTCTTTTTTCTTGTTGATATTAAAAACTGTTGCATTTCCTGGAGTGAAGTTAATTTTAAAGGTATGCTTTTTCTAATTAATTATTCTAATCCCAAATTCAAATTTATTTTCTCACTTTTTCTTTCTTTAGTCAAATTTTATTGAGAAAAAAAACTTGCTTCTATCAATGCCTATCTATGATAGGCAATTGACATCATTGATACCTAATGATATTAATTAAATTAAAATTTACTATTTAAATTAATTTGCTATTTAGCAGTATATAAACATGTTATCTAGTTTACTGTATTCCTAAATGTTAATTACAGCATGTTTTATAATGAACTATTGATATAACTTTAATATTGTCAGTAATTTTAGCAGTAATAACGTAACCATCATGTTATTTACTGCTAAAATTACTGACAATCTAGTAGATAGATATCTAGTAGATAGATAGCAAAAGTGTACAGAATTCTCTATGAGAGTATGCATTATAATCATAAGTACTTTATCTCTATTAACAAGTAAACCAGCAACAACTGTAATTTGCAAAAAAGCCAAAAATAAGCATATTTCTAGAGACAAAATTGATTCATAGGAAGAAAAAAAGTATATTATCTGTTTTGTCTTTGAAGTTATAAATTTAACAATCAGTTATTAAATTTGAATTTTGAGTAATTATGCCATTTTTATTGCTTTTTTGTTTTGTTTTACAATATAAGTAAATGTAATTTTAACTTTAAAATTAGAAACATAGCTATTATTAGCGATTCCAGAGCGCAACAAAAAAATTTGATTTTCAACAAAATTTTTATGAACTTTACTCTCTTTTATCTTTTTTTTATAATAAAGCTAGAATCTTGAGGTTTTTTGCACTAATTAATTTGACTCAACTTCTTTCCAACCATATATATAAAGTACTATGTTTAATATGGCTTCTTTTATATATTATTCATGTCTCAAAACCACTATTGATAAAAAAACTTGCAGCGGGACACGTCTTTTTAAAAGTAGTTATTGAAGGTGAGATTTCCTAAGCACCAAAATACATCTAATTTGTATAAAACTTTCCATATATATTAAAAAAGGGATGAGGAATTTAATGAAATGTGGATTCTTTATAACATTCATCCATATTTTTTTAGTTCTCAGCATTTAAAAACTTCAAGATTATTTTATATAGAAAATAAAGTGTTTTTTGAAAGAGTCCATGTGGAAATGGCAATTAGAGCCTTTCATTAATTTAAAACAAATATTTACTTGTGTTTTCTTGAAGAAATGGTAATTAGGACTTTTGTTTAGAAATTATGTATATGTTTTCATTCCTTTGCGTATTATTTGTTTTGATTTGTGCGCTTGATTTTTGATGTTTTTTTAATTTTATTTTGGTGCCATTTCATACCAAATTTTCCATACTTAAGGACAAGGCATTTTGTCAAAAAATCATCAGTTTTTCCAGCAAAAAAAAGGCAATAATTTTGGATCTGATTAACTTCTAAAGTTAAAAGACCCTTCATTTTTCAAGTTTTTTTAAGCTCTATACAACTATGTTAATCATATATAAATATATTGACCAAAAAAAAATTCTCTGGAACAGCTACCATCATCTGTCACTAAAATTGGCAGTCAGTATTCAGTCTTACTTTTAGTTTTTAAAAACCAAACCTTCTATATTTATATAGAAGTTTATAAAATAATTTTTTAGTTTTGCATCAAAGCAACTCTAGGCCCAAATAAAAAAAAGTTTTTTTAAAAATAGGCCCTGAAAGTTTTTTTAAACATAAACCTCCAGGTGGGAGAGATGACAGTTGTGGTAGTAGACCAGCGGGTTTAATGCATAACATTTCTGGAGTACAGCATTAAAGCACTTTTCAATGATGAAAAACATTTTTGATGTCATTAAATCATTGTAACACTTTTTATGAAACAAAATGTTACAAAAAAAAATATGACATAAAATATAATACTTGTATGAATTTTTTAAGTTTTTTTTTATATGATGGAATTCTGTACAAAACATATCAAAATACCACCCAAAAAAAAAAAAAAAAAAAACATAAACAGCTTTTATTTTTTATGCCTAAGTATGTATGTGTATATATATATATATATATATATATATATATATATATATATATATATATATATATATATATATATATATATATATATATATATATATATACACATATATATATATATATATATATATATATATATATATATATATATATATATATATATATATATATATATATATATATATATATATATATATATTGAAGAATTCTTTATGAACTAAAATTTGATATATATATATATATATATATATATATATATATATATATATATATATATATATATATATATATATATATATATATATATATACATAAACAGAAACAAATAATGGATAGATATATTTTACCGTCATAATAGTAGCATATTTTTTTTTTCGATCCACCGCTAGTGAATGCCATTTATAGAAAAAATGTTATAAATTTCTCTATAATAAATAAAAATTTACAATGACTGCCTAAATCGTTGATGGACTATAGTGTAGTAAGACCGCTTGAAATTGAAAAGAAAATGTTTCGTAGTGATCACACTTACTATATTAGATATACAAGAAAACATTCATATTCAAATTTTAGTTCATAAAGAATTCTTCAATATTGGATCAATAAAGATCAATAAGTTTAAACGTGCGGAAAGTTTCAGATACGTCCGAAAAACTTAGCTAAAAAAAGACGCGCAAAAAGGGTGCATAATAAGCCACTGCCTAAACATACTTTTTTTTTCTGAACACATGGGCTCACTTTGGGATTTACGTGGTACATATATATAATCACGGTTCTAAAAAAATTAGCTAATTTGGACTTGAGGTAATTTTGGGAAATCATTTCAAAGTTTTCTCTTTTCACAAAAAAGTTATAATCCTTTTTTTTGCAAGGTTCTTTTTTATCTGAGAGTGTTCACAGTTCTGATTTTGATTTAATTTAGATTAGTTTAAAGGAAGCTAAAATTTTTATTTCACGCCTTTGCGTCCTGCATATGGTTTATCTAATTTTTAGTATTTATTACTGCAATACAAAAACTTTTTATTTTTCTCATAATGGAAGAAACAACAAACTATATTTTAAAGAAATGTTTGTCATTTTCAATATATCTTTGTAATATAAAAGGTAACAAAGTTACTTTAAAAAAGTATGCAATGGTCGCATTTCTCTTGGTTTCATTATGCTATAGCTTTTAACCAGCATGCAACATGTCCCTTCACTCTTCAATAAACTTTTTTTAAGGCTTCAAATGAACGTTTTACAGTTCTTTCCACCAATATTAAGTTGTTTGACAAATCAGTGAGAGAAGTTTTTCTAGCAGTTTGAATAGTTTGTTGTAACTTACATGAGGTAATAAAAAATGAAGTAGGACGCTCCAATTGTAATAAAGCCACATCAACATTAGCATCAACAAACTCCAACCTTCAACTTTGAAGTTCAAGGGTATAACTGAACATCTTCTTTCCTTAAACGTAATTTTTTCAACTCATCTGAAGCACATTCTTTCCAAGTTTTTCTGCTTCTCAATTAGATATACTCACAACACCTAATCTTTTTCTTAAATCATTGCTACTTTTATTTACTTTTGAAGTCACACTGCATATCCATCTAACTATCATCTTTTCTGTTCTTTCCGAAAACTGGACATCATCACCCTTCATTGCCTATATTTCACTGCCATACATCATAATACTTTGGACATATGTGCTTTAGAACTTTCCTTTAATCATTAAAGAAGCACCTCTTGCTGTTAAAAATGGAGATAATTCTCGAAACTTGGCCCAAGCAAACCTACTCTTCCCCTAGATGCTATTCTGCTCCACCAGCTGATCCACTTGTTTCTGCAAGATAACAAAATTTACTAACACACTCTTTTCTCCACTTTTTATTTCAATCTCTTTTTTAACTTCTTCTCTATACTCACCAAAAGTATATTTTCTACACTCAAAACTAACAATCTTTAAGGAACATCTCTTCAATACCTAGATCTACTTTATGACACCATTGCATTAAAACTGTACAAATTATAGAGTTAGCTCCAACTCTCTTCCTACACACTCCTCATAACCACTTCCCAGTATTTTCTGCCTGCTTATTCTTGACTTTACAAGCATAACTTTTGTCTTATTCGTGTTTATCTAAAGCCCTTTTGCTTCAGTTCCATCTTTCCAAGACTCAACCTTAATACTAATTCTTTTTCTGTTCCAGTAATCTCTGAGTAATTGCTTTCGCTAACTATTTGCTCCTCAAAATTTTCACTTGATTCAAAATGTAAATAACTATTTAAATGGTTTAACTTTTCAAAAACTTTACTTTACATGGTATATTATAAGGTACGTGGAATAAGCGAAGATGTGGGGCCCGAGCTAGTGGGGGGCCCAAGCTAGTGAGTGGCTCCAAAAAAGGTTGATCATGTTACGTAATTTCTTAAACATTGTTTGATAATACTTGTATTATATTTAAAAAATGAAATTTATAAGATAAACAAAAGGCGGCTTAGGATCTTCACTTCGGACCTCCAGTCTCTTATGCTTAGGCCTTAAATGCTAAGGGCTTTCACTTGTAATTATTCGCCACTGATTGCATAAATAACATAATTTAATGTAATTATTAAAGTTATATATCCAATTAAAAACATGAGTATGCAATTTAATGTATGTAATGTAGTTTACAAAACAGCTGTACGGTAAAAATAAAATTTTATCAAAATAACTAGTAAGCTAATTCATTTTTAAATTGATATTTCAAACAAATGCAAGCACAAACTAATCAATTTATATATTAACTTGGCGAATAATTTTTTATTCACCGCAGAGCTTAGTAGTTTTTTTGTAAATTGCTTTATTAATAACTGTTTACCGTTTAAAAAGTGTAGTTTTGTTCTCAGACGTTAGGACAAATGTATGTATACGTATTAGTGCTTGCATATATCTTCGTGAGAGTGCTTGATGAATTAAAGTAAATTAAAATGATTTTAATTAAAACAGAGCTGTACTTATATATTTTTTTTTATAAAGAAAACTACATATTTTTCACTACTATAAGTTTCATGCTAAATGCAATCATCATGTATAAATATGTTTTTTTTCTCATATATATATATATATATATATATTATATATATATATATATATATATATATATATATATATATATATATATATATATATATATATATATATATATATATATATATATATATATATATATATATATGTATATATATATATATATATATATATATATATATATTTATATATATATATATATATATATATATATATATATATATATATATATATATATATATATATATATATATATATATATATATATATATAATGGTTGAGCTGAATTTAAAGCTTAATCTACAAGTCTCACTAAAAACACCAGAAAATACGTCATTTGCATGACCACATGGTTTGAATAATTAAAAAAAACATCAACAGTTGATACGGTGAAATAACAGTTACTGTTATTTCACCGTATGAGCAATAATAGAATTGTGTAAATTTTTTTACCTAAAGATATCTTTAACGTTAAAAAATCAGGTTTAAGTATTGTACAAAAAAAATTCAATAAAGTATTGTTTACAATACGTTTACAAAAATTTACAATACATTTACAAAAAAAATTCAATAAAGTTTACAATACATTTACAAAAAAAATTCAATGAAGTGTTGTTTACAATACGATAAGTACATTTATTTTTCTTGAAAAAAAAAATTCAAAAGTGAGTTGATGGATCCAGTAAACAGTAAAGCTCAAACTCTCCAATAAACAGTGAAGTATTTTAGGAAAAAGGTGTATGATTTTATAAAAAGTATAAGATTCTCATAGGATTCTCATTATTCATAAAAAATTAACAGTTAGAATACGGAAAAAAAGGCATTTTAATTTTTTTTCTGCAAACTGTTCGCAGGGCCTCCAAACAGGCATGCACACTGTGCACCAAATTTTGGGGCACCAAACAAAAATTCACCCTGGGCACCACAAAGTCTCTGTGCATTGCACAAAGACTTTGTGGTGCCTAGGGTAAATTTTTGATTGGTGCCCCAAAATTTGGATTCCTGGGTATATTTAATTAAGCATGAATTTTACTGTTTATTGTCCCTATGTCTTCAATCACGTTACAATTTAATGAAAGCAATAATTATTTTTGTATTAACTATAGCTGCACATAAACACTCTATATTTGAATTTGGTTATATAAAATAAAACGAAAATAAAAATACAATTTAACCAGAATGGAATTATATATTTCACCAAATGTTAATTATGAAGACTATTCAGTCTTCATAATTAACATTTTATTATCACTCTAATTTCACTTTGCTGCCTTTCTTCTTTGCAAAACTAGAGATGACATTTTTGTACAATAAAGACTTGGCAAGGTTGTTTTTAATTGAAATCATCATAAGGTTAGTAAGGCGTTCTTCAGTCATTGTTGATCGCGAGAGAGCTATCTGATACATGACAATGGCTTAGTGCATAAACAACAAAAGAAATTCATATTTTTTACTTGTTTTTGATTCCACACAGGATTGTGTTATAAATTTACCGATAAATTTTGATTCAAAATTTCCCTGGAAATATTTCTGCTAAATTTTAATTCTAAAAGGGTAAATTTTTGTTATAAAAAAAAAAAAATTTCAAGAAAGTTTTAGGAAAGCATACGGTAGATTAGCACTTATTGAGTTATTTCCGCGACTTCAACCTAATCAACGCGGGATTACTTGCTTTGAGCACTCAAGAGTTGGCCTTATATAAAAATAATATTGAGACAAAATGGCCTGCCATTTTGTCTCAATATTATTTTTAGTAGAGACTATTTTATCCTATTCTAAAACTAAATATCTTTTTTCATGTTTCAAATTTTCAAAAAGTTTTAGTTTTAAATGGTTATCCTACAATTTATACGCTATAATCTGGTATCATTAAAACTATTCTCATTACATTTGACCTATCTTAAGTTGTATAAAAGAATAGTCAGTAGATTAAACAAATGATCACAAAGTATATATTTTAATAGCCATATTACATGTGATAAAATAAAGCTTTTAATACGTTTTGAATATCATATACTTTATTCAACAATTAACATCGTCTTTCTTTTTAATAAAAAATTACAAAATTTACTAGTCGGAATTTACCGGTAAGTTTTACTTTCGCAGAACTAGCACAGTGCCAATTTTACAAATAAAAATGAGGAGGGGGGGGGGGAGTGTTATGTAAGGGCAAATTTTTTAAAACTTCTGACTGCTTTCTTTAAAAAAAGGTTCTCAAAACGAAAAATCTGCCGACTGAAATGTGTACTTTAATAGTAGATGGTACCAAAAAAGTTTATCCCTAATGACGCCTCGGCAACTGTAAAACATTTGATTTTTTACAATAAGTATGTCTAAAAAAGAATTTTAAAAATTAAACAGTAATCAAAATACTGCGGATAAATGTATGTTATTGATAATTTAAAATGCTAGAGAAGTTGAGGCAACTGACTATGGGCGCCAACCAAAAAGAGACGCTTTTTTTTCTTTTTCATTG